GGTGAAGCAATGAGCTTGGCAACACAAACAAGGTTTATCAAGAGCGACCAAAAACACCCCAAAACCGGAAAGGGCGAGAATAGAAAGGTGAAAACAGGTCTCAAATGGCTGGTTTCAGACACCGCTGTTGCCAGGAGTGAGGGGGGAGTGGAGGACTCGTTATTTGCTGTATTGTTTCACCACTGGCTGCTTTATGGACAAAAACGGCCCAAATTTTAAAAGTTTGGTAGGTAGTGTTGTTAGTGTTTTTGGCGAGGCACTGGAAGAGTATAGGGAGGGGGGGGGGGGCAAAATTTTTTTTGGGGGTTTTTAAAGGGTAAAAAAATTCCCTTTGGGGGTAGTGACAACTGATAACTACTGCTTAGTGAGTGAGAGAGAGAGAGAAGGAGAGAGAGAGGAGAAAAGGAGAGAGAGGAAGAGCTCCCATCAATCATTTTTTTAATACACAACAGCTGAAAAATCCGTGTTTCAATTGGCAATATACTGCATAAATTTAAAAAAACATTACTTGTGACATGAGCTCATGTTTATATGTATATTATTTTATATTACAAAAAGTTTTTGCTATAACCAAGTATTTATATTAATGTAATACCTAGGGGAAATATCCTGAAAAAAATAATACTATATGGGAATACAGAGTAAGGTTTTAAATTATATATAAATGAGATGATCATTTCATGTGCCCGTCTATCATTCGGGATTCCTTATGCTCTCAATCTATATTAAAAAATATTTACCTAAACCTTTATTCCTGTCTAGTATTACTGTTTTGTTGGACTGCATCAGAGGCCCTTTTTTCCAGTCTTGGAACATTCATTTCATAAATTTTATTTCCAGTTGACCCTAGTACCCAGTAAAAAATTTACAAAGGGCCCCAATGGCAATAAGTCGACTTTTTGGGGGGTTTTTCCTAGGTAAATTTACACTTGTTAATAGGATGAAATTGTATTATGTTTCCTGTACAAAAAAACTAAATTCTCACTGGTGAAGGTATGTTGGTATTGTGGCAGAGTTGATGGTGGCCGTTATTTTTTTATTTTTACCCCTTTTGTGTATGATTTGCTGGTAGGTACACTGTCTTAGTTAATTCACTTGCTGTCTCTACCTGATGGTTGCAGGGGTCGAGTCTCAGCTCCTGTCCCTGTTTATTAATTGGTCATTACTGGGTTCAGCCTTAACAGCTTCCTGAGCTCTATCACACTTATTATCAAAACTATATATGAAGCCTGTTACAATTTCTTCATCCAGGTAATTCCACTTCTTGACTACCCTGGGGCTGAAGAAATACTCCCTGACACCTCTGTAATACATTTCTTTCATTAACTTCAAACTTTGCCCTCATGTACCGGTTTCCTGCCTCTCTAACAGTCCATTTCTGGCCACCCTATCAAGTTTTTTGAGCATTTTCTGTCGTTATCATGTCCCATCTTACCAAACCTCTGGTCAAAACCTGTTTCCGATAGCCGATATCCTCTAATGTCATCAAGATCATTTCCTTTAGTCTCTTCCCGTAACTCATAACACTTTGCTTTGTGACTAAAACATCTCTTTTTCAGGTGTTCCGTGGCCTGGTAGGCAACGCTCTCGCCTCACATACTGAGTGTCCGAGGTTCGATCCTCGGCAAGGATAAAAACATGTGTCCTATTTTCTTAATACCTGTTGTCCCCGTTCACCTAGCAATAAGTAGGAACTTGGGTGTTAGTGGATGGTGTGGATGGCATCCTGGGGGACAAGATTAAGGACCACAATGGAAATAAGACAGACAGTCCTCGATGATGTTGCTGCCTTTCTTGGGTTATCCTGGGTGGCTAACCCTCCGGAATTAAAAATCCGAACAAAATCGTATCTCTTAACCACCTGAAGGTGGATGCAGGTTGTTAGGATGGTCAGTGACCATTCAGGATCAGCAGGGAGGGTCGTAGTTAGTGAAGATGGAATGGGAGACCAAAAAATAAATAAAAATAAACCACTCACAACGGAGCACAGTCGCCTCTGCTGCAACATGTAGTGATGCTGTTCCCTGATGACCATGCCTGGTACACAGCACCAGGAGCTGTGCCTCGACTCCTGCAACAGCATATATGTGAATACGCCGCCATTATCACCTGTTTAGATAGGAGGGAACACCAGCTGTCCATTCCTCTTTCAGACAACAATGGCGGATGAGTGAACCGGGAAGAATGTTGGAGTTACTTCCAGTAGCACTAGGATGACCAGAGGTCACACCAGAGGTCACCTGATGTCTCGCTGCTGGGTCACCTGACACCATCCAAGGTGATCTAATTTCCAGCACTATCAAGGTAAGTTATGGCAGAGTAGTAATGCTGTTTGTCCTGTCTTCCTCTCTGTCCTGTCTTCTTGTGTGTGTAGTGCTGCTGTCTGTCCTGTCTTGTCAATGGAAATAAGCCACCTTGACTTTTTTTTGGGTTATCCTGGGTTCCCTACACATATTGCTGCTATGTATGATAATCTATGTAACTGTATTTGTGTATACTTGAATAAACTTACTTAATCTGTAATGTCCTCACTAACTAGGCTGAAAGAGGAGGGTTGTATAGGTTTAATCCTAGGAAGAGGAGGAGGAGAGGTTCAATTCCTCTCATCAAGAGCCCATTAATAAGTTTATGTAGGCACACGTACACTTACGTACAATCATTATACATAGTAATATAGGTACCTGGGTGTTAGTCGACTGGTGTGGGTCGCATCCTGGGGACAAATTTGACCTAATTTTCCCAAAATGCTCAGCATAACAAGTGGCTTTCTGTATAGTAGTATATTATTGATGTCAGCTATGGTCTGTATACCTTGTACATGTACTTGTAGAAATAAAGATATTATTGTATTATTAATATCTGTCATGCAGTGTAGGTTCGAACACTGGTGTAGACTGAGATAATGTTTGATACTAACATATGTGTAAATTACCCAGGATAACTCAAAAAAAGTCAAGGTGGCTTATTTCCACTGGGATTCTTTGGACTAGAACATTTTAATAGAAAATTTCGGCCCTGGAACCTTCTTCACTTCAGTAACAATGCACATTTGTTTCCACATATCATTTTTTACCAGTCCAGATGAAGTTCCTTAAGTAGTTTGTTCAGATATACACAAAAACAGTCACATTAATTATCTGACATTTTTTTTTTGGTTACCCTAGGTTCCTACACATATGCTGCTATGTATGATAATCTATGTAATTGTGTATACCTGAATAAACTTACTAATCCAGATGAAGTTTCTTTAATTATAGAGGAACATCATCCTAGTACAATGTTAACATGTCAATTGTTCCTGCGTGATACCTGCCACGGCGGTCCCATGGTGTAATGGTCAGCACTTTGGACTCTGAATCCAACAATCCGAGTTCGAGTCTCGGTGGGACCTACTGTTTTCCTGTTTTTTCCACTGTTATTATCTTATATTTAAGGGGGAAAACGTAAAATCCACAGGGGTTATGCAGCGTCTAGGGGTGTGGGAGGTAATTGGGTTGAATCCAAAGGCTGTGTGACCCCCAAGAGGGTCATACAGGAGCTATGACTCGACTCCTGCAACCACATATAGGTGAGTACGTTATTATTATAATCAATACTATGGGCTAAACCCACAAGTCATACAACGCTGCGTGCAAGAGTAAATTTGAAATTAAGGTCGATAGAATAGGCTTGTAAAGTCAGGATCCCAATGGAAATAAGTTACTTGGTTTGACTTTTCTTGGGTTATCCGAGATTCTCTACACATATGCTGGATAGCCTCCAGGTCGTAAATTTGCAATATATCTTTTCTGCAACATTGCATTATTATAATCAAAAGGAAGCACTAGTGCAACATTGCAAACTCGTGGTTGCAACATGAAAGGCCTAGAGCTATAATTCAATGTTGTATTGCATCTTGTATTGCTTGTTCGCGATTACTTATGTGTATATATATAAAATTTCTACCTTCTGTTTGCATGTTCCTTGATATTATCACAGCCATTTGATGGTATTTATTCCTGTAATCCACTACAATATTCATGGGGAAGCACTAAGCCCGTAGGGGTTACACGGCGCATTATTGAGTTTGGTTCGATCTAAAGACGTATTTAATAAGTCCTCTTCACTGGATCAAGAGTCCTTAACCGGTTTCAAGACCCTCATGAGGGACCAGAGCCCCATCAAAGACCCCCCTCCATGAGGGACCAGAGCCCCATCAAGGACCCCCTCGATGAGGGACCAGAGCCCCATCAAGGACCCCCCTCCATGAGGGACCAGAGCCCCATCAAGGACCCCCCTCCATGAGGGACCAGAACCCCATCAAGGACCCCCTCCATGAGAGACCAGTCCCATCAAGGACCCCCTCCATGAGGGACCAGAGCACCATCAAGGATCCCCCATGAGGGACCAGGGCACCATTATCAAGGGGCACTATCAGGGAGCAGACCATCAAGGACCCCATGAGGGACCAGACCCCCATCATCAAGGATCTTCACACCTTTGGAAGGTACTTTAAGAAATTTTAGCAACAATACTTTGTACAAGGTTGCTGATAGAAATTCGAGTCAATTTTTCAGTTTCGATGGCATTCATGGAGGATGGAGGGCTAAACCCGTAGGTTATTCAGCGCCCCCCAGAGAATTTTAAAATATTCGATCCAGATGTTTTCAAGTTTTTTTTTCATAGCATTTCAGATAAAATCGCTAACCCGCAGGGGTCGTAGCGCCAGGAGAATGCCACTCACCAGGGTCAAAAATTAATGTGGGAACGATAAGGCTGTAGGGGTCATACAGCGCTTGGGACAATGGGAAGCATTCAGGTTAGATCCAAGGAAAAGGCAGGCCCAATTCCTTGGACCAAGAGCCTATTACCGGCATCTGGAGAATGTTTACCAACAAGCGTTAAATTTGTATGGAATTTCAACTTGTTCGTTACTGCCGGTATTTACAACACGTACTGAAGGTTACAATTACATGGATATAAATTTTGTACCAGAAATTTCGGTGGAAAGGAAACAAAAGTTTATAGTTCAAACATTTGTACGTTTATCTTCGAAATATAAAAATATTATCACAAAGCAACTATTAATTATCACAAGAGGCATAACTTGCCTGACTAGGAGACTTCCTTCTCAACGCATGGGAGATGGCCACAGTATGACCCTCTGTTAGATGATTCTTTCCCGTGCAGGATAAGAGTACTTACAGCAGGTCTTCCCATGGTGTACATTATCCCCCACTTATGTAGTGCAATGAGACAGGTGATACCCATTCATTCAACAATACTAGCCCGGATAACTACAAACAGTATAACATTTGTAAGAATCGGACAGTGAACGCTTATAAATAACTGATGGGACGTCTCACAAACCATCGTCAACCATATTTCTAAATACACATGTAACTTAATCTGCTGACACCAAAAGCCAGCCTGAAGGTTTAAAAAAAATAGTATAATTAAAAAAGTCATTAAACAATTCTTGTTATATAATCCTAGTCTCCGGTATACAGGCCGGCTCTTGACACACCAGGTTTCCAGAACCACACACCAGCCTATACATTCAATGCGAGTAAACAACTTTTAAAGCATTCTTACACCTTAACTCTAAAACTTTTTTGAGCACATCGTATCAGAGTACATACAGATGGGCCTCAATCTTTGAGTTGTTCGGATCATCCTCGGCCCAACTCAGGGAATCCAGAATACAGAGGCCTTTCTTAATAGCTATTTTGGTGCAGAGATCCAAGGAATTTTCCTTTTACATATATATATTAACAAATATAATGAAGATGATATGACAATATAGTGATGTAAAAAAAGTGCCAATGAGGTGAAACTCCCAGATATTTGTTCAGTATTTAAATAAGATGATCGCCAGTGTCCCTTATGAGCTAATGAGAAAATGATTTGTGAGTGTATTACAACTATGATAAATGTTACTTGACTTGGCAGTGATGTTTATTGTCTTACGGGATACTTGTGTAACGCCTGTGATTTGTCTAGAAAGACATCCACTACAAAAGATGATAATTATGACTATTTAAAAAAATGGTCCAATATATGAGGTGCTCCTGCTGAAGTGAATGCTGATAATCCATAATCCAGGATGATGCAGCTCCATGTCTTAAATATAACAGCTACCCCTTAATTCACCAGAGATCCTCCATGTATTAGGTGATGGTTACTTGGCCCACGCAACTCAGGATGTGCAAAGCAATTCCGGAAGAGCCACCAACTGCCTCCGCAAGTATAAACCACACAACTCAAGGATCTCCCAGCATTTACTCATAAAATGTTCTCTTTGTGAGCTCATAACTGGGAGAAATGATCATTCTCCTTTTACCGCCAAGTGACCTGTGGACAATGAGAAAGGAGAAAGGAAAAAGTCAAAATAGAGTTTTAGCCAATAAAATGTATAGTTTTATTTGTCAAAATTTGGTAAAATATTATAATCAAAACCAAGCGCTAAACCCACAAGGGTCAAGTACTCGATAAAGGTTTAGGACCTAATGGAAAAATTTATTATAAAGGTTCTATGATGGCATTAATGTGAAATATTACTATCTGGTAAATTCAGAACTTAAATCATTCTAGTTGCAGTGGTAAACCTTTTACATCAACTAGAAGACAGGAAGGGAAAGGCCTCCCCCCAAAAATGCAATTAACGAACTTACTTTGACACTCACCTAAAGATTCTGGCCATTTTGGTGTACCAGGAGGCAGGGTCAGGTTTTAGTCTGAGAACAAGGAGGTGTGTAGAGGGCATACTCCTGTCTGCCTTCACCTTGGCTAGAAGCTGCTCAGGTTCCTCAGGTTCCTCGTAAAACACCACAATTACACAACCTCTGCAACAATGAGAAAATATCTTAAGCATCAACTAGAAGAAATACATAGCAAGTATCCCTAAAACAAATTTGTACATACACTACACAAAAATGACCCTAGTGATGCATTTTTAATATGAAATAGAACATTACAGTGTTGTGGAGTTGGAAAACCCACCTAACTAACTTTTAGCAAATCTGGCAAGCATTACCACTGAAGCTCACCTTAGGCCGCAGGCTTCATCTTTGGAGAGATAGAGGACGTGATCTGCTACTTGGTCTAGTAAGTTTGGAGGGAAGACGATGTTGTTCTGAGTAGTATGTCTAATCTGTTCCTCCACTCGTCCTTTAAGCACCAGTCTTGCTCTCTTCTCCGTCGGGTCTTCTATACTCTCGTTCAGAAGCTCTAAGGAACAAGAAAGAAGTCTGATTAAAGCTCTCTGCAACAAGCTAAAAACCCAACCATTAATGCATACTTATTTCTATACAACAATCAAGCCAAAATTGAGTTGGTTGTATACAACAAATATATTGAAAAAAAAAAAAAAGAATTCAGATGTACTTCAAATGTTAATTTCTTTGCATAGTATACAGCGTGTGATTTACACGTTATAAAATACTGTTAAGCACAAAGCCACTAGAATGCTTCAGCATTTCGGAAGAATGACCAAGAAGAATTCCCAATCCTATTCAAAGAAAAGTGTCAAGTTTATCTTAGAATATTCTATCATGTAAGTTTATTTAGGCACATGTGCACATAAGTACAATTATCGTATATGGTGTACATTACCTAGGATAACCCCCCTAAAAAAGTCAGTGACTTCCATTGGGTTCCTTGTACAGTACTCAGAAGCTTATCAAAACGCATTTAAAACAATGAGGTGAAATGTGAACCTTGTTCCTATCACGAGAACCAATTTTTAGCCAATTTAAAACATGTAATGTGAAGTGTACAGGCAGAAAGTTCTAGCGAGTTCTCCACGCGCTGGCGCCCCCATTAACACCCCCTCCCCCAATCCATGGGTTCCCAACCCTCCCCAGCCGTGGTACAACCCCTTCCCCACACCCCCTCCCCCTATCCGTGGGTTCCCATCCCTCCCCTGCCGTGGTACAACCCCTTCCTAACTCCCCTTAGCAACCTATGACGCCAGACTTTCTCCAGAGTGGAGGCCACAGCCATTATAACCCCACCTATTATTCCCCCGTCCATGTACCTCACGCATTTAACCTCGCCCACAAACCCCATTAACTCGTTCACCTCACCCATTCATCCTCTTCACCCACCCCACCACCTTATCAATTTCATCCATCTCATCTATTTCACTCACCCCACTCATTTCACCGGCCTCACGCATCCATTTCACCCATCTAGCATTCATATCCGTCACACACATCCATTTCACCAGTCCACCAGCCTAACCCATCAATTTCACCCATCCATCTCACATCTATTTCACCCACCCACCAATTTCACAAGCCTCACGCATTCACTTCACCCATTTCTCATCCATTTCACCCGCCTCTCACATCCATTTCACCCATTTCTCATCCCTTCATCCGTATCACATCTATTTCACCCATTTTCATCCATTTCACCAGCCTCACACCCATTTCTCATCCGTCATCCGTATCAACATCCATCTCATGTCTTACATTCACCCGGGTGAATCATTCACACATTTTTTACCCAAGATAAAACATCCGTTGTAGCCTTGAATTTGCATATTGCAGTTATCAGTTGTATTATACATTCAATATGCTCGATAAACTACACTTTCCACTGTAGCGAATATATCACTAAATTTATAATGAAAAACGAGTTAATCCCTTTACATTATAACAACTATGCGCTAAACCCATAAGGGTCATACAGTAATATAGAGGACGTCAAAGGACTTTTCTGAGTTTTTAACATTATTAGATTGAGTTAACTTTTAACTGTACTGAGAGGTTAAGGGTGTTCTATATATAAGTTGTACGTTATAAGAGGATATAGAAGTGTGAACCCCGTTATAAAGGCCCAGCTGGGCCAGCAACAGTTGAAAATCGAATTTTAACTTTTTCTCACCTTCTTCCGTGGGCAGCGGCTCCAGGAGATCACTGAGGTTGGATGCTGCTGGGTTTAGCACCTTCAGATGCGCCATGTCGCTTAATATTGACGGTGATGAACCTCTCGCGAGCACAAAGTTTCTCACTCAGGTCTTTGTCTGGTGATGAGCGTCAGGTGAGGAGCGTCATGAACAGAGCGATGTGTCCCCTGTGGCGTGTGAGGGATGACTGAGCCTCGGGAGCACTGGGTCTGCTCTTTGATGCCGACAATCTTGGCCACAACTAACTAAACTTTTTCCAGTAACTTTCGTTCAGGGGCTTTCCAACACCGCTCACCCAAATATCAATTTTAACATAATATTTTGCATTCGTCTCTCATTTCGCCTAGTGATATCAATAATGTACACGTGTACAAGCTAAACTGCGTAATTTTAATGCATTTATTTACTAGGGAGTTATTTTATTTAATAGGAATAGGGCAATTTTTGTACCAAGGTTAAAAATACTAAAAGTTAGTAAAGGAAAAATGACCATGACTGTATGCGCCACACCTTATTGAGCCCTGGGTGATGCTTGCCAGGGAACACCAGCCACCGAGGCTTTTCTACCAATATTTCACCATTATTCAATAAATATTGCATACCTAAATGCACGAACTAATGGAGATTCAACCACGGCTTCCTCCGTAAAGGCAGACAAAGATGAAGTTGTGATCTGACAGCAGTAAAAATAAAGAATAATGGAGGCTGGTGTTGGTGGTGGCAGGACTGTCTTTGTTCACCAGCTGTGAGATGTCGTCAGCCACCTCCTATCTTAACATTATTTACAACTTACAGCCTTATTAACTACTATGTGCAACTTTCAATAGTGACATCATGTAGGGGAAACATAGATGTTGATGTCAAGTGATGTCCGCTGGCGTAATGAAGCTGGAATAATCGAGAAAATTGTATTTTAAGTGATGGTTTCACTGTTTGTCTTCCCTCTTTGACAAAGTTGCCGTGGCAAGACGCACACACACACACACACACACACACACACACACACACACACACACACACACACACACACACACACACACACACACACACACACACACACACACACACACAGGAGCTAAGACTCGACCCCTGCAACCACAATTAGGTGAGTACACACAGACTCAGGAGCTGAGTCTCGACCCCTGCAACCACAATTAGGTGAGTACATAAGAACATAAGAACATAAGAACGAAGGAACACTGCAGAAAGCCTACTGGCCCATGCGAGGCAGGTCCAAGTCTCCTACCGGCTTAAGCCAATGCACCCAACCTAGTCAGGTCAGGTCACATTGACTTAAGGGAGGAACACGGCAACCGACCTGGTAGCACAAGCTATCAGGTCTAACTCACACCCACCCACATCCACTCATGTATTTATCCCGGTGGCCTGGTGGCTAAAGCTCCCGCTTCACACACGGAGGGCCCGGGTTCGATTCCCGGCGGGTGGAAACATTTCGACACGTTTCCTTACACCTGTTGTCCTGTTCACCTAGCAGCAAATAGGTACCTGGGTGTTAGTCGACTGGTGTGGGTCGCATCCTGGGGGACAAGATTAAGGACCCCAATGGAAATAAGTTAGACAGTCCTCGATGACGCACTGACTTTCTTGGGTTATCCTGGGTGGCTAACCCTCCGGGGTTAAAAATCCGAACGAAATCTTATCTTAGCCTCTATAACGGTACTTGGGAGTTTGTTCCACTCATCCACAACTCTATTACCAAACCAGTACTTTCCTATATCCTTCCTGAATCTGAATTTTTCCAACTTAAAACCATTGCTGCGAGTCCTGTCTAGGCTAGATATTTTCAGCACAGACATGAAGCACTAAACTACAGACCAGTGTCACTGACATGTACAGTATGCAAAGTCATGGAGAAGATTATCAGAAGAGTGGTGGAACATCTAGAAAGGAATGATCTCATCAACAGCAGCCAGCATGGTTTCAGGGACGGGAAATCCTGTGTCACAAACCTACTGGAGTTCTATAACATGGTGACAGCAGTAAGACAAGAGAGAGAGGGGTGGGTGGATTGCATTTTCTTGGACTGCAAGAAAGCGTTTGACACAGTACCACACAAGAGATTGGTGCAAAAACTGGAGGACCAAGCAGGGATAAAAGGGAAGGCACTACAATGGATCAGGGAATACTTGTCAGGAAGACAGCAGTGAGTAATGGTACTTGGCGAGGTGTCAGAGTGGGCGCCTGTGACCAGCGGGGTCCCACAGGGATCAGTCCTAGGACCAGTGCTGTTTCTGGTATTTGTGAACGACATGACGGGAGGAATAGTCTCCGAAGTGTCCCTGTTTGCAGATGACGTGAAGTTAATGAGAAGAATTCACTCGATCGAAGACCATGCAGAACTACAAAGGGATCTGGACAGGCTGCAGACCTGGTCCAGCAATTGGTTCCTGGAGTTCAATCCCACCAAGTGCAAAATCATGAAGATTGGGGAAGGGCAAAGAAGACAGCAGACGGAGTACAGTCTAGGGGGCCAGAGACTACAAACCTCACTCAAGGAAAAAGATCTTGGGGTGAGTATAACACCAGGCACATCTCCTGAAGCGCAAATCAACCAAATAACTGCTGCAGCATATGGACGCCTAGCAAACCTCAGAACAGCATTCCGACATCTTAATAAGGAATCGTTCAGGACCCTGTACACCGTGTACGTTAGGCCCATATTGGAGTATGCGGCACCAGTTTGGAACCCACACCTAGCCAAGCACGTAATGAAACTAGAGAAAGTGCAAAGGTTTGCAACAAGACTAGTCCCAGAGCTAAGAGGTATGTCCTACGAGGAGAGGTTAAGGGAAATCAACCTGACGACACTGGAGGACAGGAGAGATAGGGGGGACATGATAACGACATACAAAATACTGAGGAATTGACAAGGTGGACAAAGACAGGATGTTCCAGAGATTGGACACAGTAACAAGGGTACACAATTGGAAGTTGAAGAGACAGATGAATCACAGGGATGTTAGGAAGTATTTCTTCAGCCACAGAGTAGTCAGGAAGTGGAATAGTTTGGGAAGCGATGTAGTGGAGGCAGGATCCATACATAGCTTTAAGCAGAGGTATGATAAAGCTCACGGTTCAGGGAGAGTGACCTAGTAGCGATCAGTGAAGAGGCGGGGCCAGGAGCTCGGACTCGACCCCCGCAACCTCAACTAGGTGAGTACACACACACACCATTAATATTTACGAACACATCACACATTGTGTTGTATGTTGTTGGCAGTCACTATATTAGTGTTGTATGTTGTTGACAGTCACTATATTAGTGTTGTATGTTGTTGACAGTCACTATATTAGTGTTGTATGTTGTTGACAGTCACTATATTAGTGTTGTATGTTGTTGACAGCCACTATATTAGTGTTGTATGTTGTTGACAGCCACTATACTCGTGTTGTATGTTGTTGACAGTCACTATATTAGTGTTGTATGTTGTTGACAGCCACTATACTCGTGTTGTATGTTGTTGACAGTCACTATACTCGTGTTGTATGTTGTTGACAGCCACTATACTCGTGTTGTATGTTGACAGCCACTATACTCGTGTTGTATGTTGTTGACAGCCACTATACTCGTGTTGTATGTTGTTGACAGCCACTATACTCGTGTTGTATGTTGTTGACAGCCACTATACTCGTGTTGTATGTTGTTGACAGCCACTATACTCGTGTTGTATGTTGTTGACAGCCACTATACTCGTGTTGTATGTTGTTGACAGCCACTATACTCGTGTTGTATGTTGTTGACAGCCACTATACTCGTGTGTATGTTGTTGACAGCCACTATACTCGTGTTGTATGTTGTTGACAGCCACTATACTCGTGTTGTATGTTGTTGACAGCCACTATACTCGTGTTGTATGTTGTTGACAGCCACTATACTCGTGTTGTATGTTGTTGACAGCCACTATACTCGTGTTGTATGTTGTTGACAGCCACTATACTCGTGTTGTATGTTGTTGACAGCCACTATACTCGTGTTGTATGTTGTTGACAGCCACTATACTCGTGTTGTATGTTGTTGACAGCCACTATACTCGTGTTGTATGTTGTTGACAGCCACTATACTCGTGTTGTATGTTGTTGACAGCCACTATACTCGTGTTGTATGTTGTTGACAGCCACTATACTCGTGTTGTATGTTGTTGACAGCCACTATACTCGTGTTGTATGTTGTTGACAGCCACTATACTCGTGTTGTATGTTGTTAACAGCCGCAATACATCATTAGTGTTGTTTTTTACCCTCCTGGCAGGTATGTGGTAAACATGTGCTATTGAGGTTACTTGACATGTTGACGTGATTATTGTCATGTTTATCAGTGAGCGTCGCAGACAACTCACCTTCCTCTCATATCTTTTAAATTGTAGTAACGAGATGGGAGCACGTCAGGTGTGTACTCACCTAATTGTGGTTGCAGGGGTCGGTTCACAGCTTCTAGTCAGGCCTCCACTCTCTCCCTGCTCCATGAGCTGCATCCTATCTCTTCTTGAAGATATGTATGGATCCTGCCTCCACTACATTACTGTGTGTGTGTGTGTGTGTGTGTGTGTGTGTGGTGTGTGTGTGTGTGTGTGTGTGTGAGAGAGAGTGTGTGTGTGTGTGTGTGTGTGTGTACTCACCTAGTTGAGGTTGCGGGGGTCGAGTCCGAGCTCCTGGCCCCGCCTCTTCACTGATCGCTACTAGGTCACTCTCCCTGAGCCGTGAGCTTTATCATACCTCTGCTTAAAGCTATGTATGGATCCTGCCTCCATTACATCGCTTCCCAAACTATTCCACTTCCTGACTACTCTGTGGCTGAAGAAATACTTCCTAACATCCCTGTGATTCATCTCTGTCTTCAACTTCCAACTGTGTCCCCTTGTTACTGTGTCCAATCTCTGGAACATCCTGTCTTTGTCCACCTTGTCAATTCCTCTCAGTATTTTGTATGTCGTTATCATGTCCCCCCTATCTCTCCTGTCCTCCAGTGTCGTCAGGTTGATTTCCCTTAACCTCTCCTCGTAGGACATACCTCTTAGCTCTGGGACTAGTCTTGTTGCAAACCTTTGCACTTTCTCTAGTTTCGTTACGTGCTTGGCTAGGTGTGGGTTCCAAACTGGTGCCGCATACTCCAATATGGGCCTAACGTACACGGTGTACAGGGTCCTGAACGATTCCTTATTAAGATGTCGGAATGCTGTTCT